TAAATAGGAAAATCGGTATAATAATCAAAAAAAAAAAATCAATTCGATAATTCAAATTGCAAATTTTAAATGCCAAAATATGTATAATGATATCGTGTCGTTAATTTTTAATAATAAACAATGATTTTCTCTTGATAATTTATTAAATTTTACACCCGAAAATTGGTTAGCTAATTGTAACCCCGTTATTATTAATTTTATTAATACTCTTACCCATAATAATAATAACGACTACACTAGCTATACTTCAAATGAAAAGACTTTTAAAAGAATGGTTGCCATCGATGCAATATATAGATCAAGGTATAAAAATTATGTATCAGAAATAAATTTAGCAATATCAGAAATTAAATATTCGTTAGCACGATCTAAAACAATTGTTGATATTGATAATCATATAATTAGTTCTGGGTGTTATAAAAAATTTATTGAGTAGCTAGAATCATTAGCAATTGAAAATAAACCTTTATCTAAAGGGTTATTATTTTTGGTCTTTGATAATAAGCAACGAGATCAATTTAATTATCTTGATCATAGATATAACATGGTTATATATCATACGGTTACGAGTTTTGTTGCATTAAATATAGATAAAAATGATTCTACACAGTTTACAATCACTTCTTGGCTTTATGATTCACTAACAGATCAACAATATGAAGAATTATATTATGTTACCCCAGAAATGAAAGCAGAACACGAACAAGAATTAAATATATACTTATCATCAATTTTAGAAAACCTTATTGATGAAAAAAATAAAGAAGTAAATTCTATTGATCTGGCTATTAAAAATCAGAAAAGCATTGGAAGTCAATCTAAATGGTGTAAGAAATGTAGCATGACTAATATTGATAATAGAAAACGTAATTGCTCTAAGTGCAACAAGAAATTAGATTCATTAGCTACTTTATGAACAGAATCTGTTGACGAAATTAATAATACAACTCCCCAATCAAGATCTCTCATAATAAAATCTCAAACATATACTCACGAAAAAAAAAATTTTTTTGTCAAGCATATTAGCATTACGCAATGATCAGAGTCTGAACACGATGTAATCATTCCAGAAATACATATACCAAATCCATTAGAAGTTAATTCTAATTCAATAAATAATATCAAAAAAATATTGGAATATATATATAATATTGCAGAAATAGACCAAGGAATATGAAAATGGTTACTAGTTACTTGTGATGACATTCCATATAATCTAGCTCAAAAGATTAAAAAGGATTTTCTATGGCTGATACTAATTCCTGGGGCATTGTATGAAAAAATAAATATGCTCAAGGTATTCGTAGAATTAAATTAGTATTTTTTTTTTTTATGAAATATAAATCGTATCTTTTATTAAAAATTTATATCATCCTAGTATCTTGGTTTATATATTTGGTTTAAGGACAATTGATATCAAACAATTTGCGACCTTTCAAGGATAAAAACCGAAAACCAACTTAAGTTTTTTAAGAAATATGCAGACTATCACAAATCATGGGACTCCATTTGCAATATTTATCGGCATGCTATGACATGTGAATTATTATGGCCATACGTAGCTATGAGTGAAAATTCTTCAGTTGATGGCTATCTAGATTGGGCAAAAAAGCAAAATGATTCTGTATATAATCTAAAATTTGAACAAGTAAGATTTTTAATAAGTAATTAAATAAAACTAAAATTTTT